AAATTTCCAAGCTTTCTAAACTGCACAGCATCTTAAAGATAAAGTAGTAGGCGATGTGTTGACTAACTACACACACAAACACACATACATACACACACATAAAATCAAGGCTGTATGTATGTCAACTAATAGCTAGTAACAACTCTATAAAAAAATTAAGCAGTTTGTGTAAACCAGGAATGTTTCCAATAGAATATTTGTAGATAAAGTCCAATGTAACACCAAAGCATGTTAAAGGTGATTTTTGTCAGGGGTTGTACAATGTCAATCACAACTTGGCTTCTATTCTGGAAACAGATCATAGTCTCTGAAAGCATAGGTGAATCCCATTACTTCAGAAAGCCATTAGTGAGTTTCGTTTCTCTCAGGACCTTCTATGGAAGTTGTGCAAGAATGTGAAGGGCACACTTCATTGCAGTTGTGTTAATTCACCAGTTCTTTTGCAAAAAAAAATAAAGAAAAAACATAAGTCGTATATTAATTTCTATAGAAGTATAACTTTGTAGAAGTTTTGCACTGCTTTACAATAACAAATCTTCTCAAGGACAGATAACAAATCTAGTTTATTTTGGATCCCAGCGCCTAGCAAAGGAAGTGGAACAGAATGGATTTCTAATCACACGCTCCTGAATGGGCCACTTTTCAGACTTCTGAGAGCATCATCTTCTTCCAGCTAGCTTGAAAAGATCAAGGTCATGTGCCAACTAACACCAAAGAACCTAATTTGCAGTTAAAACTTTCCTTTGGCATCAATTCGAAAACATTAACTGGAAGGATTGTATTAAATGATATATAATTTTTAAAAATAGAAAACCAGGGGGTTGAAGAGATGGCTCAGCAGCCAAGAGTATTTTTTTTCCCTGCATAGGACCTGGGCTTGATTTCAGCACCCACATGGCAGTTTACAACCACCCATAATTCAGACTCCAGGGGATCTGATGCCCTCTTTCAACCTCTGTGGGCCCCAGGCATGCATGATGCAAATTCATACATGTTGGCAGAACACTCATACACATAAAATAAGTCTTAAAGAAAGGCAGACAACCACCCAGAGCAACCTTCAAAACCCATGTATGGACTTGTGACATCAATGGTCAAACAAAAATACTCTCCTGTTCTTCTATAACTGAATGAGAATTAGATGTGTAGCATCCAAGTGCTTTTAAAGATTTATTTTTATTTATTTATGTAGTCTCTCTCTCGATGTGTGTGTGTGTGTGTGTGTGTGTGTGTGTGTGTGTGTGTGTGTGCCACCTGCATGTGGGTGACTACAGAGGCAACACTAAGATATCAGAGTCCCTGGAGCTGGAGTTACAGGTGGTTGTTAGAGCTGCAGTACACACTTTAGCTGCTGAACCATCTCCTTAACCCTAGCATACTGGTATTTAACATAGGGCTTCATGAGCATTTACCATAGAACTATATTTAAAGTCATAACATAACAATTAAAAATCTCTAGCTATGATAATCATTCCTGAAATGAAGTTTGACTCTATATCAGATTCATGTCACTTGGTTCTGACCCTTTAAGCCAGGCTTAAAAAAAAAAAGATTCCTGGGGACTGGAGAGATGGCTCAGAGGTTAAGAGCATTGCCTGCTCTTCCAGAGGTCCTGAGTTCAATTCCCAGCAACCACATGGTGGCTCACAACCATCTGTAATGGGGTCTGGTGCCCTCTTCTGGCCTGCAGGCATACATACAGACAGAATATTGTATACATAATAAANATAAATAAATAAATAAAATGAAATGAAATGAAAAGAATTCCTGCTGGGTTCACAGTTCCAGAGGGTTAGAGTCGATGACCATCATGGCAGGGAGCATGACAACAGACAGGTGGGCATGGCAGCACTGGAGAAGTTGCTGAGAACTCATATCAACTTTCTTTTTATTCATTCTTTGTGTCTTTCACATCATGCATCTCCATTCCATTCATTTTTGCATCTGCCCTCTGCCCTTGCAAACACCCCCCAAAAAATAAAATAAAATAAAATTTAAGAGAAAAAAGAAAGAAGGAAAGGAGAAGACAAAAAGAAAAAATCAATCTCATCATGGAAGCTGTAGTGTGACATAGGGAGACATGCAATAAAACCTTTTATCCAGACATCTTTACTTGCAAGTGTTCATTGCAAAGAGTCATTGGTCTGGTTCAAGGGCTCGGGTTTCTACTACACCATCAATGCTGGGCCCTCACTGGAGCTCCTCTTGCTTATCCTGTTATTGTCCTATGTCATGGATATCCTGCAGCTTTGTGTCTGCAGGACCTGTCCCTTCCCATGCTTCAACAGATCGCAGATTGGGTGGATGTTGGAGTGGGCCAACTCATAATCCTGACCCCGGGCCTGGGTAGTTGCAGGGTTGGTCAGACAGCCAGAGAGCTCAAATCTTGATCCCCAAGTATGAGACAGAAGGATAGAGACACTGCGAATGGAAAGAGTATTCTGACATCTCAAAGCTAACCCTCAGTGACACACCTCCTCCTACAAGGCCACCTCATTATCCTTCCCAAAACAGTTAGAGCAACGGAAGACCATGTATTCAAATACATGAGCCTATGGGAAACAGTCACATTCAAACCATCGCAACCAGAAGGGGCTCTCGAGCACTGAGTCATCTCTCCAGCCAGTGAAACAATCTTGCTGTGAGATAACGCTCTTGTACACTGTAGAGATTCATCATTCATATTGGTTTAATAAAGCACTAGTAGGCCAGTAGTCAGGCAGGAAGTATAGGCAGGGCAATCAGACTAAGGGAATTCTGAAAAGAGAAAAGGCAGAGAGTCAGTCATTAGCCAGATGCAGAGGAAGCAAGATGAGAATGCCTCATTGAGAGAAGTACCAAGCCACGTGACTAAACATAGATAAGAATTATGAGTTAGTTTAAGTTGTAAAAGCTAGTTAATAATAAGTCTGAGCCAATAGGCCAAACAGTTTATAATTAATACAAGCCTCTGTGCATTTATTTGGAACTGAATGGCTGTGGTACCAGGCAGGACAGAAACCTCCATCTACATAATCTTAAAATATAGATCAGAGAAAGTTACCTCACTGTTTAGACTCTATAAGGAAGTGCATTGCTAGAATGCAATACTTCTAGTACCTGGATAGTTGAAGTATGGTTTTAAGACTAGAAGCTTCTGCCGTCAGTTCAAACAGATGCTAGGAATGAAGAATCTGGGACATAACCTTACACCTATGGAATTAGCGTCTTCTGATTCTCACAAATGTGAAATCCATAGCTAAATTAAAATTCAAGCAACTGTTTTATTTCAGAGCACTAAGAAAGGATGCAGCCCTTAACACATCTGGAAAAGTCAGTACAGCTGTGAGCATGCCCCTGAAAGAAGAGACAGCCTCTGCTCTTTCACGGCAGGCAATTAGGTCAGCTACTCCTTAAGATGTCGTGATCGTTTTACATTTAAAGGGGGAACAATTTTTTTAAAGGATGGCCTTCTATGAGCTCCCAATATGCTTTGTGCAACTTTTAAAAACATAAGATTTTTATTATTATTTATTTGAGAATTTAATATAACATATGACCATATTCATTTCCCACCCCAACTCCTCCTAGGCCCACCACCCATAATGTCCTCACTTCCTCTCCGCTCCTTTAAAAAGATCCACTGAGTTCAATTTGTGCTAACCTCATACTCCCCCACCTAGATACGAGGCTAACTACAGAAATTTGATCAACCTACCAGGAACCACACCCTTAAAAACTGTCTCCCCCCCCCCCACAGAAGCTATCAAATGTCAATAACTCATCAATTAGGGGTGGTGCTCAGGATCCCCTCCCCCACACCGTGTTAGAATGGACTGGCTTGGTCTTGTGCAGGTCTTGTGTGACTGCTGTGAGTTCATAAGTAAGCAGAGAGTTGTCTTGTTCAGAAAACACTGTTTTGCTCGGGTCCACCCTCTGCTTCTTTTCTTTTCTTTTTTCGAGACAGGGTTTCTCTGTGTAACAACCCTGGCTGTCCTGGAACTAGCTCTTGTAGGCCAGGCTGTCCTCAGACTCACAGAGATCTGCCTGTCTCTGCCTCCCAAGAGCTGGGATTAAAGGCGTGTGCCACCACCGCCTGGCCTTTTTGTAAGATCATTAAATGTCTTAAGTAATAATACTCAAGGTGACCATAAAATTTGTCTTCATTACTAAATGTGGTCGCACTCACACTTATGTGTTCTCAGCTAAATAACAACAACAGAAATAATAATGTCAAAATTCCATATCTACGGGCCCCATAAATATTAACAATTCAATAGTTCATAAGAGGAGCAATTACACTTATAGGGGATCCACAGGTGCTTGCCAAGGGTAGGTTCTGGGAATAGAGTCAAAGGACAGTCACAGTTCAGAAATATTAAAACTGAGTGTGGAGAAACCTCGAGGAGGGATGAGATGGGAAGTATCTGTTGCTTTGATGTGCTCTGCTTTTGCTTTCAGTTCTGTCTGTTTGCAGTGTGTGTATTCAAAGCTTTAGAAAACCAACGTTACTCTACCTGAATGGTTCTGTCACAGCTAGTTAGGCGTCTTCTCGCAGGAGGGAGGTCTGCCTCCGCGTTCAGCACTGCGGACAGCTCCAGGCGTCTGCGGAAAGGGGTGGGGTGGGGCTTAGGAAGAAAGGGGCGTGGGTAGTGCAAAGGAACACTAAATGACTAAGTGACGCATCAGTTTTCGGTTAAACCAGTACACCTTTCACTCGTTTTTTTCCCCCCTTTGTCTGATCAAAGGAAATATAAAAACCATAGCGCCTTCTAACAACTCGAGACCGCTGTTTCCACGCACAGCGAGATGCCTTCGGCACAGCTGGAGACATAGCAGAGGCAAGGATTTTCGCGACGAATTAATTAAACCCTCACTACTCTAGGAAGCACAAATAGCGACGAACCCTGATTGCTAAGCTTCAGGGTGCGATGTGAATGAAAATGAGCCCTTGTCTCCGCTCTTTCTAAGACCTGAAGAACAGACCCTGTTGCTGTTGTTGGAGTCCCTTCCCCATCTCGCGTCCCACCTCCTTTGCTCGCACACCCACCTGCGCGCAAATATTTACACATCGCCACACCAGAGAAATGCACACATGCACACACCTTTTCCTGCAAACACTCTCGCGCACGTCTTTCCGCGGCTGCCTGTGTCCTGTCTCTCACCCAGACACAGACACTTATACACGTAGGCCAGAAAAGCGCAACCCACGGTCCTGTGACTCCCTCCACGCAGGTCCTCGGAACACGCCGCCGCCGTTTACATTGAACCGATCGGCGAGCACAGACAAACCTACCAACAAGTCTACTGGCTGGAATTCATCTCCATGGCAACAAACATGGAAGGTGAGCCCATCCACCCCTGCTGCCTGTGAAGTAACTTTCTCCCCCTCCTCAGCATTCACCTACAGGGTTCCAGCGCCAGTCCTGAGGAGAAGGTGTCCTTATTCTCTTGGATTTCAGAGACAAGACAGCCGGGTGGGGGGCAGGGAAAGTCTGTAGGTTTGGGTGAGCTCAAATTCTGAAAAGGAAAGAATGCCTCTGCAGCTGCTGATGCTGTCAAAAAAAGAAAAAAAAAAGAAAGAAAGAAAATGTGTTGTGTATATACGGATTGCTGATGTTTCTCCCATGATGTCTTGTAGGAAGTTTCCATGCTTCCTGCAGCTTAATATGTAGAAGACAACCGGAGGCAACATAAGGTAGAATAATAACGATGGTCTAGTCATCTTTGGTGAGACAGGTTGAGAATTTCCAGATCAAGCTTACCAGTGCTTTGGAAGGAATGGTTGTCTGAGGAGCCACCCAAATATTCTCTTAAGGAAAATCTCTCAAGGTTGATGTCTTCGGGGCTTTGGGGGTAGATTCGTGAAGATCCCGAGGTTCTGGAACTCTAGGAATCCAGCATGCATGTGCTTCAGCATGATGAAGACATCTGGGTTTGTAATTTAAGGATTTCCTTTTGATTCCAACACATCCATTCCTAAACGATAGCTCTGTGAAGATATGGCCTCAATAATGCTTTCTGCTGTTCCTTAATTTAATAGACTTTAACAACCCTTGTATTTGATGCAGAGTCTGTTGTTTGTGTACAGACGGGCTCATTATTTTTTAAGCTAGAGGTTGCATGTCTCATTTCACGAAATGACAAGTATCTTCTCACTAAAGACTGTTGTCCAGTGGCTACTACTAGAATACTTTTTACCTTGAATATCCTATTGCACCCCAATTGTAACGATTTCAGATTTGATGTTGGTGATGCTAATACTAGATAAAATAAGCATGAGGGGAAAACCTGTTGATTTTTAAAAAGATATAGGATGCTCTTGTGTATTTTCAGGAGGTACCTACATTTTACCACTGACTTTCTGCAATTGCATGTTATTGTGTGCACATTGAATAACTGTTTGCAAAAAGCAAGTTTGATAGCTCCTAATCAGTAAATAGTTCACAAAGGAAAAAAAAAGCATTGCCTACTGCGTTCATTCATGGACATGAAAGGCTACATGCATAAGCAGGTATAAAGTGGCTCTCCTTGGTGGGTTACTCGCAGTGACATGATTGCAATAACTGAGCCCAGAGGCTTTGTTGGTGTTGTCGTCATCGTCAGTTTAACTACAAAGCAACTCCATGACATTGGGCCTTTTGATATCTACAGGTACTGCCGTGGCCCAATGCTATGACTCATCAGGACTTACAGAGCAAGCATGGCATTTGCCATTAGAGAAAAGATTATCTAACCATTAACTCCAGTAGCTGGAGTTCCTAGCAGTATTCTATCAGTAGTAGAAGTAGTATAAAAACACACTTTAATACTTCAGCCATTATATGGAGGCACTTTGACGTTTAAGCTGAGTGGTGTTCATGATGTTGTCCATTTTTGTGGTATATCATATTTAAAGTAAATTTTACCTGGATTCAAATTCCTTTTAAAAATTCACTTCTTCTTTTCACAGTTACGTTTTTCACACGGGCTTTTTATCAATTTGTAGTTTTGTTCCTTTGTAATCCATTTCTCTCATGTTGCATCCATTTTCTATTTGTCAGAGAACCTATTTCTCAGGTATTAAAATATTAATTTCCTTTTGAGGTAAGCCTCATAAGATCTATTCTACAGAACCAAATGAGTCTTTACTTCTCTCTCTCTCTCCCAATTGTGGAAAATGAAAATTTGTCTTTACTCCCTAGGTGAACATGATTTTGAAACCTTTTTCACCAGGAAGTAGTCAGTGCTGTAACTGAAGACCTCTGTTTGTTTATGATATGATTATTACCAATATTTTATAGAATGTACTCCACACCAATGGAAAGGCACATAGTTCAGAAAACTTGGTGATATGTTCTCAAAAACTTCAGACTTAGTATTGAAATGAGACAATGTACTCATTTTATATGTCAAATAATATAGGAAAGTTTGGGAAATTATTTGAAAAAGCTAGGCCTCAAATACCAGTGGTTTTGATGCTCTTGAGTCTGAAGGCTAACGTGCTTCTGTTTTTGTATTTATCTGCCTACGTATACAGCACTGCATCAATCAGCAGGCTTCTTTGGGCTTTGACTGTCTCCTTTTCAACTATGCTCCTATATGGCGCTTTGTTTAAAGATGAACATTAAAATCTAAGTTTTTCCTTTTAAGATATTAACAAAAACCAACCTTTCTCAATTCAATTGTTGTTTAAAAATGTAATCTACAGTTTTTTTTCAAACATGAAATGGATTGGCTTAGGTTTACTTTGAAAAATCAAATATCTGGTTAAGTCCTTCTTATTGAGAACAATTCATATTTGAATGCATTATCCTTCTACTCCTTTAATTTCCACAGAAGTAAAACTTGTTTTATTACCATCCAATTCTATCTCCTCTTTAGCCATTATACCAAAATTCCCTTCGATTTATTAGCCTTCTAGAACTTTCTATTATGGTGAAATAATTCTGATACCAGGCCTTGCTTGCCAGTACTTAATTTCCGTCCCACAGAATTAGACAGCTTTTCAATGGTCCATATGGAAACCTTGGCTTTCTTAGTTTTGTGTGCATTCCTACTATGGATCAATTCATGATCCTTACTTCTTGTAAGTCCACTGGGAGATCTTATTTTCCCTCTGCAAGAAGGGTATGTATTGTGGTTTATTGATAGTGGGTTTTTTCTTATGTTCAAATCCTGTCTGGTAATAGCAAACAGCATCTTGCTGGACTTACAAGAAAATTATCCTGGATCAGTCTAGAACAAGTCTATACTAGAAAACACTTTAGATGTCTGGACGTATCTACTGTCTTCTTCAGTGTTCTCTTTCAATAATGTCTCCTCCTCTTAACTTGAAGGCTGCAGATACTTCTATGTACTGTGGTCCCTCTATCTTGCATTTATTCATCTGCATCAGTTTTACTTGATAACCAAATCTAAAGTGTTCTTCCCACTAGGAACTTTCTGTTGCACAAAATTATCTGGGTTGACTCCTTACGTGAAAATCGTGAGTTTACAATACCCAAATTTACATTTACTTTGTAAATCTCTAATGTTGCTTATTTTTTGCTTAGGGAAAATGCTGTTTTTACATTTGTTGAAACTTAACAGAGTTGAGCTACCATTGATGGACCTTCTTTCAAGGCTCTCCACATTCCATCCTAGCTTTATGAAGAGCTTTCAAACCTACACTCTCTTCCTTATACTTATTCATACAAACCTTCATTGCTGCTCACACGAAGCATCGTTTTCCATTTCTTCTAAATATGTAGAAGTTAATAAAATTAACCCAATATGGCTGCTGAGGAGATAAAATATGTGCAAAGCACCATATAAGAGAAAGGCAGTAAATGTTGAACGTGGTTGCTTTTCTTTTTCAATACCCAAGTAGAAGACTGATTCGCTTGTATTTTATTTTGAACATGGCTCCTCTCCCTTGCTAGCTGGAAGCTCTTTGAGTAGAGAGGCCGCATCTCTTACCACGTGACAGCACCGCAGTAAATATTTTGAATATGCGTATGATGACTATCGATGAATTCATTTGGGTTTGACTGAGCCATAATGATGGTATTACCTTTCTGGACCTTTTGTTTCCATTCAAGTTAAGATTGTTTCTGCTTTTCAAGAAACCACTTCATATCTTCAACTTATATGGATTTTTGATGAATTTCCATTTGAATATTTATTTCATGCAAATTATCAAGCATTATCGCCCCAATTTTCAGTTAACATATTTCTCTCCTTCATTCTCAAATGCAAGACTTTTTTCTAAATGTGTCTATCAGATATTATGTTCAGGTTTCATCTCAGAACTTAAGTCATTAGAATTCTTTTGAATCTCAACACTGGGAGCTATATATAATTTCAGCCAAGTTTTATGTCAAATTTCGTAGGTCTCCAACCTAGTCATTGTTATGAAGCATGTAAGAATATATAGGTAAGGCTAGACCTTTGTGATCCTACCCTGCAGATTGTCTTCGTGACTGTAGAACCTGTAATTATTAGGATAGCTCAGTAACTGTGAATCTACACAAAACACCATAAGCCAGGCATATCTCACATACTCCTCACAAAGAGATTACAATAGAAGGTCCATGAACTGCCAAAGTCACTAAACCATGCTGTCCCACGTCCCTCATTCATCATATTAACAGCAAACTACTAAAAAAAAAAAAGGTGGAGTTAACTGTAGATATCTGAAGTTTTTCTCAAAGGCCTTTCTGTTAAGTCCTGACTCTTAGCTACAGCTACAGGGCTACTGGGAGACAGTGAAACCTTAGGAGGAGATGTACCTGTCAAAAGAAGTTAAGTCACTGTGGAGATGACCTTGAAAAGTACAGTGAGACACCCTGGTCCTTCTCTCCCTCCAACCACCAAGTGAACAGCCCTCCTGTGCCACATTCTAGAACCAAAATCAGGCTCACATGACCACAGCTGAACCTGTCAAAGCAGAGGGCCAGAATGAACTTTGATGTTTGCCTACAGTGGAAAGCAGAGTGGTGCAGCATCTCTCCCCGTGTTACCGTCAGTGCCTTCGGTGCCAACCATTGCTTACCCTGTGTCTTTTAGCTACACATCGCCAACACAGAATTTCCTCTTCCGCTCTTTGAAAAACAAAACGTTCGTCTGGACTCACAACTCTGGTAACACTCCCATGGTCAGTCATTTCTGAAAGAGTATCTCCACACTATAAAAGCCAGAGGAGGTTAAGGAGTCTTGTGTTTGTCATTTATGACTTTAAAATAATTCTGTCTGCCTCTTCCACAAGGCATACTGCTCAGTACGGCACATCGGTACCAAGTTCACCAAGGAAAAGGCTGACATATGTTAGTTTCTACTTTTTTTTTTTTCAATGAAAAAGTTGAGAAAATATTCTATGTTGACTTAAACTCCTTTAACCCTTTAGACTTTCTGACACCGCCCTAAAAGTTTTGGGTCACTTTCCAGCATGTGTTCAAATAGCACTGCATTTCATGTTATATTTTTAGTAATTGAGAGATTAAGTGCTACAAAGTAGGTTTGTTGTCATGGTAACCTTTTTCATTTAACAAGCAATTGTCTATCCACACACCATGCACATCCCTACTCCATTCAGAAGATTTTGAAGCGTTTCATAGCATCCTTCCTTACTAAGGCTGACAGCAAAGGATTCGATCAAGAAGATGGAGTACTACACCAGAAAATTTAAGCTAACTAAAAACAAACAAACAAACAAACAAACAAACGGGGATGGAGAGATGGCTCAAGGGTTAAGAACACTAGTTGTTCTTCCAGAGGTCCTGAGTTCAATTCCCAGCAACCACATGGTGGCTCGCAACCATCTCTAATAGGATCTAATGCCCTCTTCTGGCCTGCAAGGATACATACAGGCAGAATACTGTATACATCATAAATAAATAAATCTTTTTTTTATATTTATTTATTATGTATACAATATTCTGTCTCTGTGTATGCCTGCCGGCCAGAAGAGGGCACCAGACCTCATTACAGATGGTTGTGAGCCACCATGTGGTTGCTGGGAATTGAACTCAGGACCTCTGGAAGAGCAGGCAATGCTCTTAACCACTGAGCCATCTCCCTAGCCCCCATAAATAAATCTTTTAAAAAAATAAACAAACAACAAAAAAACAAACAGAGAACAAATATAAAATTGGCATCTGTGCTTTCTAGTACAGAAAAATGTCTATATAAGATAATTAAGATAGCACCTCCTGAGAAAACAAAGGGAAATTCACAGAGTTACTAGGAAAAATCCACATGCTCTCTCTCTGGACATAAAAACTCGTGTCTTTTTGAGAAGGCCACATTACATCAGTTTAACCAGAGAGAGCAGGAATGCTGGCAGAGCTGTTGAATCCTGTTGCTTATCTTCATGGTTAGTTTTTGAAAGCAAATGGAATTGCTCTTGTTCATGCCAACTACTAATAAATGAAATTTCAAGTTCTCTGAATATTGAAAGATTAGGTTAAAAAAAGAACTTTTTTCTTTAATGATTGTATCTACCAACGTATTTAACTTATTACAGTTCAGTACTTATTGAATAAAGATGATATGCCAGCTTAGAAAGTGTTTTTTTTTTTCTTATTAATTCATTAACTCACTTACGGTCCAAGAATCTAAGAACAAAGTGTTATATGGCATATGTTAGCTAAATTGTGTATGAAGGGCGGGGGCTTTTGTATCTCTGATGAGGAAGGCGTTTTGTTTTAATTTAGTAGAATTTTATGAGCTGTGTGTTTGATTGCTGTTTCTGAAAAATGTTTTTTTTGTTGTTGTTGTTGTTGCTTTGCTTGTTTAGTTGGTTGGTAGGTTTTACTAAGAATAACAAAGTCGCCAGGCGGTGGTGGCGCACGCCTTTAAGCCCAGCACTCAGGAGGCAGAGGCAAGCAGATGTCTGTGAGTTCGAGGCCAGCCTGGTCTACAAAAGCTAGTTCCAGGACAGGCTCCAAAGCTACAGAGAAACTCTGTCTTGAAAAACTGCTATTGAGTTAATTATTAGCCCAAGGGCAATTCAGTTGGCTTCTTCTGTGACCAGCTATGACACCTCACATATGTTTACTCTATGATGTTGTTAAAATATGTAACTATCTTTAGCTAATTTTATGACATCAATCTAATTAGGCCATTTTTACACGACGGCAAAATGAACAAATCATTAAACCTGCCCAGGCGTTTTAACATTTGTGAGGCTAATTGTTTTCAGCAACCAGACACGGAGGAAGAGTTTAGTGGCCTAAATGTTTATTAAGAAATGCCCTTGGGCTCCTAACCTGGAGATGGATGGAGGATAAAGCAGGTGTAGACAAAGCTGAGCTGTGATCTGCACCAAAACAACCTCAGCTGATACCCTGTGGAACTCCAGAGCTAGACCACATCTTCAGCATCTTCCCCTTTGAGTCAAGATGGTCAGAGTCACATCGCTCACTCAGTGAACAGCATCCTTCCCAGGGGGAGACACACCCGTGGTAGGGCAGCTCTCTGCAGCCCAGGCAACCCATGCAAGGGGAAAATAACAATTGCTGGGAATGCTGCCAGCTGCTAGGCAACAAGTCCTGCACTGTGGGTACACCACAGAGTCTGCAGTAAACCAATGTTATCGGCCCTTCTGTTTCCAGGGGTTTAGTTTTATTATCTTAACTTACGTGCACATGTGTGGATACATGCACATGAGTGATGCCTCCCTTAGAGACAGGCGCTGGATGTCTTGGAGCTGGAGTTACCTATGTTTATGAGTTGCTGCCTGATGTGGGAGCTGAGAACTGAATTTTGACACTCTGCAAGAGTAGGACCCATTCCTAACTGCTGAGCATGATTGGCTTCTCTACCCACACCCCTTTGCAAATGTTAAATGTAGCTCACAAGGACCATGAACTTGACAGCATTTTACAAATTCCAAAACAGAAAGTGTTGTTTGGTCCTGTATCCTATGCCTCCTACAGGGTAAATAACAAAAGAACTCGGCCTCTGGCAAGGTCATTCTGAGTTACTTATGTAAGCCTATAAAGGTAATTTTTTTTTAAACAGGCAAAGCACACTTTTACTTACTAGGACATTAAAATCAACATGTAGAAAGAATCTCCACAAAGGAATTTTAAAATGTTTTTCCCTTTTATTGAACAAAATGTCAACCAACCAATGCCAGAAGTAGGGAGTATGTCTGTCACCGGTAGTTTGAAGACTGAGCTCTTTTGTAAAAAAAAAAAAAAAAAAAAAAAAAAAACCAATAATAAAAACAAAACAAAACAAAAACAACTTTCATAAAATCAGTGTTTCTAAGTTTGAAAGTTATAAGCCTTATTACTCTCTCCACACATTCCCACCTATCCCTTGTTCTATCTCAGTGTTCTTTTTTTAAGTTTATTTTATTTTATATGTATGAGTGATTTGCACACCTATATGTTTGTGCACCATGGGCATGTCTGATGCCATCAGAGGCCAGAAGAGGGAGTCAGATCCCCTGGAACTGGAGTTATAGACATCTTGGAGCCACAATGTGTGTGCTGGGAATCAAACCTCCATCCTCTGCAAGAACAAGTGCTCTTAACCGCTGAGCCATCTCTCCAGCTCCCTCAGGTGCTTTCTGAAAACGGATAAGGAGCTCCGTTGTATTTAAAGCCAACTTTTTTAACATCTTAGCTGTAGTTTTAGAATATCAGTCATAGATAGGGGCATGAGAATGAGACTTGTTTAGAAGGACTAGGGAGTTGTCTTAAAGTTAGCTGAATCACAAAGAACACACAATTTTAATTTGGATTTTATGTTTATTTAGGGAAGTGGTTCTCAACCTTCCTCATGTTGCAACTCTTTAATACAGTTCTTCATATTGTGGTGACTCCAACTATAAGATTATTTTCATTATATAATTGTAATTTTGATACTGTTATGAATTATTGTAAATATCTGATGTTTCTGATGATCTCGGTGACTTCTGTGAAAGGGCTTTTGACCCTCCAAGGAGTCTCGACCCACAGGTTGAGAACCACTGGCTCAGAGGTTCAGAAAACGAATGTACATGGTTGGGAAGTAGCTAGTGCACACAGATATTGTGCTTAATCTCTTTGTAGTTGTGATGTTGGGGAGTGCCTCCACTCAGGCAATTTTCAAGACATAATTTAACCAGGTGTGGTGGCTCTTGCCTATAATCCCAGCATTCAGGAAAGCTGAGGCAGAGGGATGGCCGTGAGTTCTGGGACAGTCTGGACTATAGAGTGAGAATTTCTCTCTTGCGCGTGCATGCACACGCGCGCGCACGCGTACACACACGAAAGGAGTACATATAATAGATAAGATACTGTAAGCATGCAGCTATGAAAACAAGAGTTGAAACAAAAAGTCTATCCCGCTGTTTAAAGGATCAGGTTTTGTTTCAGATAAAATGGCCCTGGAGAGAGATCCTAAACACAAGGACCTTAAACCTCAGTAACAGCTTACACGCTTTGTGCTTGCGCTATGATCTCTACATGCAAAAATGCAGTGAAAATTCAGATCAAAAAAGCAGGGACCAGCGAATCAAAGGCGTTCAGTGTTAATCAGACGACTATCACTTTCATGCTTGCCTTTCTATTTCAGTGTGCTGGCATGGACTTCTGTGTCCATAGACAACTCCACCCTTAACTTCAGCGGAATAAGCGTCTCCAGTGCCAATTTCATTCTGGTCTATATCTGATACCTTCAAACACCTTTGATGAGTTAAGAGACCTTGAACATACCTGCTTTTATAATGTCTTGCCCAATGCTGCACAAGGAGGAAACTAAACTGGGTCCATTCTGTGTCTAGGCGGAGAACTGATTCCTGCAGGGACGCTGGAGAACCCCCACAATGCACCAGTGAAGGATGAGTAGCACCTACTGCGGCAATTCCTCAGCTAAGATGAGCGTCAACGAAGTCTCTGCCTTCTCCCTGACCCTGGAGCAAAAGACTGGCTTTGCCTTTGTGGGCATCCTGTGCATTTTCTTGGGGCTTCTTATTATCAGATGCTTCAAAATCCTATTAGACCCATATAGTAGCATGCCCTCTTCAACGTGGGAAGATGAAGTGGAGGAATTTGATAAAGGGACCTTTGAGTATGCCCTTGCCTGATGGCAGCCTAAGCTTCACGCTTTTTCTAGTTGCCGTTGGGACACATGGTAGACACGTTCGTAATTAGCTTGACTGTGCTGCTCTGAGAGGATCATTTCATTCACGAAATTCAATAAACATCTGTGATTGACCTATCTACCATGCTGGGTAAAATCCCGTGCTCTTCTTGGTCTCCCTCCATGGAGGTTTCTTTTTCCTTTTCTTTTCTTTCTTTCTTTTTGATTTTCGAGACAGGGTTTCTCCGTAGCTTTTGGTTCCTGTCCTGGAACTAGCTCTTGTAGACCAGGCTGGCCTCGAACTCACAGAGCTCCTCCTGCCTCTGCCTCCCGAGTGCTGGGATTAAAGGCATGTGCCACCACCGCCCGGCCTCCGCGGAGGTTTCTATGCAGAGAGCTGAACTGTGACTTCTGCCACCTCATTTCCTCCTCTAATATCTGTCCTTGCTGTCTGCTCCTTTCTGTATGCTACTGAGCTGGTCGGAGGCTTCAGCACATCAAGCCTTTGTAGCCTCTCCATGCACCACACTGGAGCCACAGCATAGCTCTTAGCGAACTCTGTGGTGTGTTACGCTTTTCTTAGAGAGACATGAACATACGTCTGCTCACCCCAGATAGAGAGCCAGTGATAGACTGGGGTTACTTGTAGGAATTATGGGTGAAAGGTCACTTCCAGGAGCAGAAATGACTCAGCAACAGCTTTCTCAGCAAAGGTCCACCTCAGTATGGGTGACAGCTCACAGAGCTGGAAACCAGGAGCTCGGGGCACAGCCTACACAGCTCCACAGGTAGGAGAGCTCCTCTTTAAGACAGCTCAGCTTGCTCGACAGTGCCTCTCGGCAGATTTTACTGCTTCTATAAGATTGGGGAAGACAGGAGCTAGGGTATCTGGTCAGTTTCCGAGACTTTCTGAAGCCTTTAGTTGGTTTATTCCCTAAACTTAGCAAACTTCGCTGGAGGGAGGAATGTTTTCCCTCCCCTTAGAACATTCCATGTCTCGAGGAACTTTCCTCCAAGATGGGGCCTTATCTCAGAGGAAATTGCTATACAACACTTGGGCTCAAAGGCCTCTGGGCCCCCAAAGGAAAGACTGTCATTTCTCAGACAGAGGTCATAGGTCGGAAAGTTCACAGTGGGGCAAAGTCAAAAAGCCAACACCCAAACCTTCCAGCTCTGCAGACATCTGAAGGTTCTTAGAATGCATGCCCAGCATTTTTCTGAGGCTTGAAGCTCTTCCACTGTAAAATGCTGTAGTCTAGAGTGCCCACCAGTCCTGCCTCACGGGGACACTGGCTGCACGAGAGAACTCCAACACTGCCCGGTAGGTGGGGCGAGCGCATGGAAGCGTGAACTCCAGTCAGCCAGCCGGCCCCGCCATCGCTAGAGCCACGCCTCCCTGAGCCAGTTGTCTAATCTCTGTGGACTCCAAGGGAGAGACAACCAGAGGGATGGAATGACCCTTTAAACTAACAGCCTAAAAATGCCGCACGCGTCCCTGGAAAGCCAGAGAGCCAAGATGAGGTTTGACGATGCACAGTTTTCTAGGTCAGGAGTCAGGGTTCTGATATTGGCCCACGCAACAACTAGCTTCATCTAGCTTTATAACCCAGAAAGTGATCTCAGGGTAGACAGCTTTCCACATCTGTGAAACTAGGATGAGAAATCCATCCTGTGTCACTAAGGGATCCTGGCAAGAGGATAGAGATGTAAAGGATAGAAAAGCACTTGGGAAACCATGGAACATGTAAAAACACCATAATCTCTATCTGTCTCCGTACTGCTCCAACCCAGCACTGAGTTACATGTGCCTCTGCCACACCTGAGTTCTACATGGGTGTTGGGGATCTGAATTCAGGTGCCTTTGCTTGCAAGGCAGGCACTTTTCCCACTGAACCAACACCCTGGCCTCTACAACTTTTTTTAAAAAATTTTATTTATTTATTTATTATTTATTTATTTATTTTTACCGAAACTTCCATTCAAGTCTGTGGCATTCCAAAACAGCAGCCACAGAGAGATTCCCGATAGAGATTTTTGTTGTTGTTTAGATGTTTTCTCTCCTAGTGGAATTTTAAAACCTATGTGTTGGTTGTGGTCAAGCCTTCACATCAAGGAGGCTCTTGGTGCCCCAGCTGGTACAAAGATACCTCACATCCTATTGATAATCTGGCCCAAGAATAATTCAGTAAGTTGGGCTCGACTGATCTGGCTGAAAGGTATCTGTGCCCGAACACCGGGCATCATTTTTGTAACATGGGCTTCTGAAGGGCTCTCTAAGATTCATGGCCAACTTCATGCAGAGGTTCCGTTTGTTCCAGAGACATCATTCACTAAGACTTTCCATTTCACAAGATCAAACTTTTATTTCAAAAAAAGAAAAAGGAGAGAGAGGCAGAAAAGAAGGAAAGAAAGAGAGGGAGGAAAAAGGGGGAGGGAAAGAGAGAAAGGAAGGAAGGAAGGGAAAAAGGAAGAAAGGAAGGAAGAACGGAGGGAGAGAGGAAGGAAAGAATGAAGAGAGGAAAGAAGGAAGGAAGGGAAGGAGGGAGGGAGGGAGGGAGGGAGGGAGGGAGGGAGGGAGGGAGGGAGGGAAGGAAGGAAGGTAGGTAAGCCAGACACATTCATAAAGAACGCACCATTTCACCATTTCGGGGCGTCAGCTCCCAGCACACTGCCATTCCCAGTCTCACTAGGAAGAGACTGCACTGACAGAAAGTGCTTGACCGGTGGCTTTTGTTTTTATTTTATTGGTACATCTTAGTCTTTTGTGAAGATGGGGGAAGGAGAATGGTCATCATCTGTATTTTCAGAGTGAGAAGTGATAACTATAAATGGGCTGGTTAGAGTTGGGATAGAACATGGAAACTTCAAGGAATGTTAATGTTCCTACAAATAGGCAGCCAACATCATACCCAGATCAGCCCCAATGCCACACACACTCCAGAGCCTGTTGGGGAGAACAGGAGGACAGGTAGCGTACCCCGGACAGCATGTTCTGGTTTCTGACCTACCTACCGCAAAGGCTTCGATGAAGCTCACATCCAAGGCTGACTTGATGGATGGTGTCACTTCGTCCATATCCCCCAAACATCCCTCAGCCACTCTAGGACAAAGGCCATTGTTTCCAGGTCTGAGATAACAGCCTCGAATGAAAGTCTCTACTTGATGGAAGACCGAGAGTGAAACTAATTCATCCGCACTGGAGTCAGACAAACATGCAGCAGGAAGCAGAGACTGGCTTCAGAGGCACTCGGCCTCTGGTGGAGGAAAAAGACTAAAGAAGGAATAAGGCAAGGGAGTCCCGACGGCGCGTGAGGGCTGCGTAATGTCAATCATCCTGGTATAGGGAATGGAACTTGCTTGGGGTCCCAGTATCATCTTGGCAGTGTTCTGATCTATTAAGTCAGTAGCCTAGCCGCCCCCCCCCCATCCCCTACTGAATCTGACATCCGACAGCTTCCTAAGCTGAGTCCTTCTTCTACGTGACATGTGGAATCCTCACTCGGTGAATAATTCTCCTCTATCAGAGCGGTCCTTATGAAGATGAGGGCTGACAAATGCTCAGGGGGTAAAGGCACTTGCTGCCAGGCCAAACACGTGATTTTGAACCCTGGGACAAACGTAGCAAAAGAAGAGCACCGACTCCCTGAAGTTGTCCCCTGCTCTCCATACATACCACATATGTGTGAGCACACACCCACACAGAAACAAACAATTGTAAAAACAGGAATTCAGATTGGGTACGACATTAGCCTGAGTACCTGGCTAAGAGCTTCGAAGGGGTTGTCCTTTGGCTTCTGCCTGTCCCTTTGAACAATACTGTGTCTGGTTATCAACTTACCCTTTCCTTTATTTTAATAAGTAGATTCCTATCCCTGTCTTTAATGGTTGGTCTCAGAATCAGGGGTGGAAATAAAAATAAGTCACAAACCAATAATAAATATTGATAAAATAGTACAAACAAGGACTATGTACAAACTGGTGCTGTTTAAACATAAACGTGAATTAGCTCATTTAATCCTCACAATAACTCAGCAAGCTACAGGCCATTGTTGTCTGCATCCACGTTTGCATGTGAGAACATTAAAGCACACACAGTGAATGAGTCTCCTGAATTCATCCAGACAGGAAGTAGCAGGGACCAGAGTTGAAATCAAGCATTCTTCAATCACTGCTCACACTTAACCACTATGTCACACCACAGCAGAGCCACCGAGCCAACTGGAAATCACCTGCATGGTTTCTTATTAGACACAGAGGACTCATTCAATCATCCTGATTGAAAACCAATGACAGAACCTGCACAGAATTGTGTGCTGTCTTGATCACCAGCTCTCATTTTGGAGTAGAAACTTCTTTTGTGAAAACTCAAAAATTAGATATGATTAAAAAAAATTGACCCTCCATGCAGAGACAGAAAAGTCATACCACTAGGAAGTATACTCAGTCACCAGGAAATGTACCCAGCCCCTGGGAAGTGTACCAATAACTGGGAAGTGCATCCAGCCCCTGAGAAGTGTACCCAGCCACTGGGAAGTGTGTCCAGCCCCTGGGAATGTACCCAGCCACTGGGAAGTGTGTCCAGCCACTGGGAGTATACCCAGCCCCTGGGAAGTGTGTCCAGCCACTGGGAAGTGTGTCCAGCCCTTGGGAGTGTACCCAGCCACTGGGAAGTGTGTCCAGCCCCTGGGAAGCATATCCCCTTCCACTTGAGCAGTTTAAAGTAGTTTTCTCACTAGGTAGAAATCTTTTCAATAACTAACTAATGCTATTCTCAAACCGTTCACTGCCTATGCAGAGAAGAGGCAAGGTGAGTAAGCTAAAATGACTTAATTAAACATTTTCTAACTGCAAAGTATTGAAACCATCTTTTGAGGGATAATATTTTGGCTCCTATGCTGAGCAATAAAAGGTCACCAGGTCTCATCAAAAACAGGATAATGAGCTAGGCCTGGTGGCGAAGGCTTGCTTCCAGCTACTTGGGAAGCTGAGGCAAGAGGAGGGCAAGTTCAAGGATGCCCGGAGTACAGAGTGAACTCTGGGCCAGCCTAGACAATTAGCAAGAACCTGCCTCAAAATAAAACATCTAGAAATGGGGGTGGGAGGCTCAGTGGTGGAGTGCTTACTTAGCATATATGAGGTCCTGGG